ATTATTATTATTATTATTATTATTATTAAAAATCTCATTTGAGAGTTTTTAGAGGTGGCTGGGTTGAGTCGCCACCTAGAGTGGAGGCTGGGAAAGATCCTGGCCTTTGCCATAGCTCAGCTTTTAGGATGAAGGGTGGGCCTCTCTGGACAGAATCCAGGTTTCATTCTGAATGGAGTAAACCCCAATCCCAGCCGGCATGAGCCACTTTTCCGGGAACTATCTGCGCCTTGGCCATCCCCAAAGGAGGCCAAAGGACTGCGGGTGGCAGCCATCTTTCCCCACCCTCTCCTACTTACCCCCCATGAGCCCTCACCCTTGGCTCCCATCATGGGTTGAGTGAGGGGCAGGGGTCCTACACCAGTTATGGCTGCCCAGGAGAGCTCCCTGAAGGCTGGGGTGATAAAATGAGCCAAGTGGGGAAGAGGGAAGGATTCCTCCAGGCCCTTACATCAGCCTCTCTCCCCATGGCTGAGGCCAGAGAGGAATGATCTGCTCTCTGAGCAGCCTATTCCTCTGCCTCCTCCCCCAGCAAATACACATAAACATTGACAACTCATAAAGATCAAGGGAGCCTGTGGCCCTGGGCTGCCTGACCCTGGCCACACACGCTTACGGCAACAAGAACCCAGCCCATCTGTTTACAGCACACTGCGCAGTTGCTCCCAGGAAAAGCCGCTGCTCCTCAAAGAAGGAAAACTAGAGGAAGGGTTTGGTTGGACAACCACAGCTTTGGCCTGAGGAGGCAGTGCCTACTCTCCCAGCTCCAGCATGGGCCCCCAGCCCTCAGCCACTTTCTGGTCCTCCCTCCAACAGGTACCTGACCCGGTGGTCCCCTCACTCTGTCAAGCCTATCTACAATAAAGGCCACCGCTGGAATAAGGTGCGCATGGCCATAGGATCACCCCTCCTGAAAGACAACGTCTGCTACTCAAGAAGGCCTTTGGTGCTGTATCATTGACTGAACAGGGCTTCCTGAGAACCTGGCCAGAGCTCCTTCTGCAGTCTCGTCCCTTACTACCAGGTGGCCCAGCTCCTCCAACATGATGGACACAGTGGCAGCAGACCACCTTCAGTGCTCTCGGCCTGCCAGCAGCAGTGCTGGGAGCTGGGGGCAGGCAGGGCAGTTGGGTTCCTTGGCAGCTATGGTGGCCTTATGACTGGGGCCATACTCTGGGCTAGGGGACAGGAGTTTTGCTCAAAGGAATGTCATAAAGCAGGCTCATGTTTCACCCACTGGATGTGTGCTCACTGTTTGGGAAGTACAGGGAGCTTGGGCCTATTTCTGGCCAGTTACTGAGCATTGAGTCACTGATCTCTTGCGATGGGTTACATGAATGCAACTGAAGGGAGTTCATGGGCCAACAGGTTCCCATCCTGTTTTGACAGCTGTTAGTCTTGGGCCTGGGGGCTGCAAGGAGGTGAGTTTGGCTGCCTCGCCCATGAACAACTCTAATACAAGTCCAGGAGGAGCTGCCTTCCTCGAAGGGCTTTTGGCCGTCACATCCTACAGCCTTTCCACCTGCCATTCTCTCTCTTGTTAGCACATTCTGATCCTCTGCCACTTGCTTTAGAGCTGGGTCTCCTGGCTCCTTGGGCCTCTCCTCAGAGCCTGGACACCAGACAGGTGGAGATGAGGGGAAGAGGCAAGACAGAACAAACAGACCAAATCCACTGAAATGTATGAAAATAATGTTGATGCTCTACATAAAAAGTCCCTGGGCTGCCCCGCTCCTACAGCATGAAGGGCAAGTCTATGTTCTTCTCACCGGTGCCCACGTAGATATAGCCACAGTTCTTGGTGCAGGGAGCATGGTAGAAGGTGAGGCCTGGCCAGAGCAGGCTGCGCAGCACCACCAGGGCGTTGCCTCTCTCCATCTGGATGCTCCAGGACCCTGAGAAGAAAGTGAGGCCTGGGTGTATGGAGCCAGAGCTCTGCCCGATGTGCAGAGGCCCCAGCTCCTTGGGCAGCCAGGCCCAGGTGCTAAGGTTCCACTCAGGGAAAGGGAAGACAGTTTAATTATCCCGGCACTTTACTCCTCCTGATTGCCTTTTAGCCATTTCACTGTTCATTAAAACCACTTCCAGAGGGAGGGCAAAGGAAATGAAAGGAGGTGAAACTCAAACGAGTGCATTTTGTTCTGTCAGCAAGTCTAGTTAAAGGTTGAGTGGGGGAGGAAGCTGAATCCATAGGCAGAGGGGAGTCAGGGCGCGTTTGGGGAGACTTTCTCCAGGCTCCCTCGCACCCTCTACTAGGGTTAATCACCAGTGACCAGTCCTAGTGCGGTTTGCCCCCACTTGCTGTTTTGCTCTCTAGTCCCCAGTCCCAGAAGCCTCTGCGCTGAGACAGATTAGACCTGCTCGGGGGCTCACATAGAATTTGGCCATTTCAGGCCTCCAGCTCAGTAGCCCTTCTGGGCTGCTGGTGGCCTGGGAGCCATCCTTGGTGGGAGGGGACTTGGGCTACAGCTAATGAGCCTTTGTCTGTCCTGGGTCCTGCTTTGGTTTTTGCTCCTCAGACAGGAGTAGCCCAGCCCAGGGATGAGTTGTACAGCCATGAGGACTTGGTGGGAAGGACCTGATCCATCTCCAGAACCGAGGGAGGGAGCCGCTGTGTGGGAGGAAGGAGCCTGGGAAAATAGCCTCTGGATGCAGATCTGGAGCTTCTATTCCCCTGCGCACCGAGGCCCCTCCCGGGCCCAGCCGCAGCTCTGTTCCAGGCCCTGCCAGAAAGGCAAATGCTTTGAAGGTTTTGGTGTTGGACCAGCCAGTGATGCACTGAGAGCTGTGCTGAGGCCTTTATCGGCTGCCAGCTCAACCCGGCTGCTTGGCTCCTGCTGCCCCAGCTTCCCACAGGCCTCCTCCAACCATGGCCCACCCTGGTCACTCCACACCCAGCAGCCTCACAGCTCAGTCCCCACCCACCAGGGGCCACCCTGCATGCAAGAGACCACCAGGAACCCCTGACCCTGGCAGCAGCTCAGCCCTGTTGAGGGTGCCGTCACCTGCCCAAATCAAAGCCAGAGCTTTCCAGTGCATGTAGGTCAGCTGGTCCTAGCCTGCTTAGGGAGAGGCTGGCTGGGAGCCCACTGTGTGGGCCTGCACCAAGTGCTACCACCCATGCATGAGATGAAATGGAAGCTATAGTGAAGGCTTGATTCTGCTCCCCTCACTGCTGGCCAGACACCATCAAGAAGAGGGTTCCTAGGTTACCAGAGCTCTGGCTGGGGCACTGCCTAAGAAGGGGGGTGGGTGCTTTCCTGGTCAGAGAACAGGAGTATTTTCCCCACTCCTACTATTTTCCTCTCTGGGCACCTGAGGTCCTACACCTCCCAGGCCTTCCCTCTGGCCTAAGGCCCTATCCTGTTACTTTCCTAGTTAGGCATTTCAGAAAACATGCCTAGGGGTAATGGGAGTGGGACAGAACAGAACAAGATATTCCCAGTCCGCTGCATTCAGCCTTTGGTCAGAAGTACAGACCCCAGGAAGGTATATCCCCTATTGTCCCTTAGTTTCCCCCCATTCAGTTCCTAGAGCATCATCTGGGGACATTCCCTCCCTGCCCTTGATGCTCACAGTCACACAGCACCCTTGAACTGAGGAAAGTCAGGCTTTGCCTCCTCTGCCCACCAGGGAGGGCAGCTTGCAGCCTGGGCCAAATGTTGCCCTGGAGAAATGAAGTCCTGGAGTCCCCCAACCTAGACTACTCTCATCAGTTCACTATTGGCAGCATCTTTTTTTTCTTTCTTTTTTTCCTTTCTTTTTTTCTTCTTTTTTTAGTCACTATCTTGGCAAAAAAGAAAAAAAAAGAGCCAGGGCTGGGTCCTGACCTCTCACACCAGCCTGCCCACCTATAGTTTGGCCACCTCCTTGCTTTAACAGATGAGAGGGTCCAGGCTTATTAGCAGGGGCTCCCTTCATTCTCACCTCGAGAGAGCAAGGAGGACCTAATAGGGATGCTAGAGAAGTATAGTGACCCCACAGGGGCAGGGGGACAGCAGCACCAAGCAGGCAAAAGGGTGCTGACCAAGTGTGGAAGTGCACTGTGAGGGGCCAGCCAGCCAGCAACACGGCCTCCCTCCCTTTCTTGCATTCCTGTCACACTCCTGTCCTCCTCTCCTTGTTCCTGGCTCAGCTGGTTGCCCAGGAAACACACAGACTCTCAACGTGCCAGGAGTCACGTAGTGTCTACCTGGGAAGCAAGGCACTTGCTTGTCACCTTCACCCGCTTTTCTTACTGCAACTGCTGGAAAGTCTGAGCCCAGCCAGCTGCTGCAGCCTCTGCCTCTAGGATTCCAGGAGAAGCAGCCTTCTGTGGCCCTGGTGTTTCAGTTCACAGCCCAGTCTCTCCCAAGTCTCCCCAAAACTCCCCTCTTGCCCCCTGGCACCCACTCTCTTCTGCAAGCTGTTTTTTGAGGCTGTGATGGGGAACAAGCCGGTAATCAGGAGCAGGGCCTATTGCATTCCACAGGAAGTCCTCCTGGGTGTCCAGAGCCCACCTTGCTAGCACAGAAACCTCAAGCAAAGGTATACTTCTCTTACTTACATTCTCCTGTCCTCCAGAAAGAAGGGCAGCAAAGCCCTGAGATTCCATTTGATGGAGACCGTGGCCCAGGCTGGGGGATCAGGGCTCTCCAGGGGCGGCAGCTGGCTTAAACCCTCAGACCAGCACTACACAACTTGTCACAAAACAATGGGCATGGGTTCCTTCTCAGAGTGGCCACTCCCACCACACCAGGGCCACAAGGTATGACCCCCCAGAGGTTGCGGGG